ATCATGCCTTAAACCGGCAGTGGACACTCCATCTAAACGAAGCTTGAGTGCCGTGAACGTAGCCTTCACAGCGCCTGCAAACTGCATTCAGGGCGCCGTGAACGTAGCCTGCCAACTACATTCACGGCGCCGTGAACCTAGCCTGCAGACTACGTTCACGGCGCCGTGAACGTAGCCACTGCGAACTAAAAAATGGCGGAAAATTGGAAGCACTGAACATTAGATCTAGATCTAGATCTAGATCTAGATCTATACTATAGAACGAAGACACTTCCTTTTTTCCAGACCAGAGTCGGAATAACATTTTTTCATATTCGGACTCGAGTCCGAATAAGAAATTTTTTTATTCGGACTCGAGTCCGAATATGAAAAAATGTTATTCCGACTCGAGTCCAAATAACGACAGCCAAAAAAAAACCTGCTGCCCGACCCGGTACGATTGATCTAGATATCTTGATAGGCTCTAGATCTAGTCTATATCTAGAATCTATATCTAGATTCTAGATCTAGAAAATCTAGATGATCTCAGTTTGACCAACAAAAAGCAGTGCATCTGCGTCGTGTGCGGGAGTGAAAGAAAAAATTTACCAAATCTTATTCTTACTCACTCTCGTAGGATGACGAAATAGAGTGTAAACAAACCTTATTATTTTGCTCACTGAAACTGTACAAAGCCGGACACGTGGACAACACTTGGCATAAATTCAATCAATTTCAAGATCCCAGATCAATGTACGTGTGTGAGTCGTGAGTGTGAGCAAAGTTTGAAGCCAGCCAATGCTTTCAATCTTGTTGAAAAACCGTGTCAACTAACTTGCAACGCAGGAATAATATTGTAATCGTTTGCAGTATAAAATAGAAGTTCTCTTGTAGGACCTTATTATGTAAATTTCTCACTCAGCTTGCAAACTCGAAGCCAAAATCTGATATAGATTCTAGATCTATTATGCGGGTGCACGTTTCCTTATCTTGATTTCATTTCTATTGATCTTATTATTGGATTATATTGAATTGAAAAAATTCTGCTCAGGTCAAGTCATGCAAAAATCCCCTAGATCTAGTCCAACAATCTTCGTCTATACATATTATATGTATACTTTGCTAAAATTTTATTGCTATTCTTGGCCTCGAAGCCAAAGTTTTTTAGTCTTGTCGGCCAAATTTCTCCACATTTTTGGCCTACGAACAGAAGAATGCCACGAACAGTTTTCCAATGACCGCTGACGTGTTGAAAGTCACTTCCGGTACTGGCTGTTGATAGTGTTTGTGTTTACAGGAGAAATACGGAGACTGGAAGTTGAGAAAAGTGGATGTATGTGTAACAGTTTTCGTCACTCTTGTTTTGTCATGTTATTCTCGGTTGTCTTTGCTAAAAGCCCACATTTGGAACGGGTGTCCACATTCTTATAATCCATTCACGTTTTGTGTGATAGAGAGATTCGACTCACTATGGATGGGATTTTTCTTAGTTTTATTTCCTTGTCCTTTTCTTTTCTGTCAGATCAGCTGCAACTGCTATGATGACTGCAAGAAGTCAAGAGGGGGGTGTCAGCTCCCAACCACCCCTTTAAAATTAGGCTTAATATTATGTTTTTCAAGCCCGTTGTTAGGCTGATAGGAATAGGGTACCGTTTTTGGTGCGGCCACCTCTATTCTCACCCGGAGTCGGAGTGAGAATAGTGCAGGCGAGTCTTGTGGCTATTCTCACCCGGTGCGCGTTCACCAAATTTTGCGTTCACCCTAAACCACAGAATTCTACACTGTGATAACAGAAAAATTGTAGAATTCTGTGCCTACTAAAAGCATACAATTTGTCTGGGCAGTGGAGAGAGAAAGAGAGAGAGGAGTAGCGCGAGAATTTCTGGGCAAAACAAAATGGTGACCCGCGTAGTTCGGCTCGATTCGAAAAGTTAAATAGCCGTAGCATCTTTGTAGACAACCAAATTAATTTACTTTTGTGTTTTAACATCATTTTTTAACTTTGTTTTGGTCAATTTGATCGTCCACACCGATAGACAGTATTCAGAAAGAGACAGAGAGAGAGAGAGAAGAGGGGAGGAGTTGATCTTGCGAGAACTTTCGGGCGGGTGAGAATAGCCGGTAGTTCCCACCCCCCTTATTTGAGCCTTACCTAGATTTTACCACAATTTAATGTTTTGCAGTAGTTAGGTTATATCTTAGCTTGCCCCGAATCAAACGTATAGATTAGATTTAGATATCTAGACGTAGATCAAATAAGGGGGATGGGAACTACCGGCTATTCTCACCCGCCCCTGAAACCCCCCACCATATTTTTTATTTAGGTTATTAGGGGTGGGAACAATTAGGTTATTAGGGGTGGGAACTACCGAAAAAGCGCCCCGTTTTTTATATGTAGTGTCAATTGCCACCGAGTGACGCGGTGGCAATTGACAAAAATTGACTTCTTGTCAATTGCCACCGAGTAAATTGGAGCTCTTTTGCATTGGAATTGGTGGGTGGGTAGATCTAGCTTATTGTGCTCAAGTGCTCGGTGTTGTGCGTTCGCCTCTGTGTGTGTGTGTGTGTGTGTCTTTTCCTGACCCCCGTCCCCCGATTTATGTTCCCTGATATAACGTGAATTTCTGCTTGAGTTTGTGTGCGTTTGTGACCTTCTACTTCTACAATTGCCTGTGTTGGTTCTACACCAAAGTGTAGGCTAAGGCTAGCCTAGATCTAGGCCTACGTCTAATTGAAAACAAGCCAAGTTGGTAACGTAGCTCTAAACTAGATGCTCGTCCAATGAAATTAGTTGAGAACAAATTGACCCATTAGACACACATTATGTATTGCTAAAGATAGTGTTGTTTTGAGACTTGACACCGCTTCACCCAGTGGCAATTGACGCTACCTTTTTATATATATGGCCAGCTGTATTCTTTATTCTCGATCGCTCAGGAAAATAAACTTGAACTCTTCTATCTCTCCGACGGTTTCCATTCTCGAAAATTTTTTGTTATTTGCGCTTGCGCGTGTGTGCGTGTACAGGGCTTGAATTTGGTGTTCAGGAGGGCAGGAAAAAATGGCCCCGGTGGAGCTCAAAAAAATTCAGAGGGCACCGAGGCAATTTGCTAGGGCACCAAGGCAAAAATTATAGGTGATCATTGTTGATTAAAGTTGGTAAAACTGGATCGTGCATCACAACGTTTATATAAATTATAACAATACAATTTATTCCTGCTCTCTACAAAAGTATAGAGTTAACGGAAAATTTGTAAAATCATGAATGAAAACTTACTAGATCTAGATCTAGATCTAGATCTAGTCTAAATCACAGTAAAATCACATCAGTTTTAAATCAAATTATAATGATCACGATTACATCTGACTTTTAAATGAGCCATTGCCAAAATGTGGGGATAAACACACACACTCACATTAGTGTACATAAGATGTGATGCATTAGTATTCATTCCTCCAAAACTTAGATCTTTGCCTCAAAACATGACAAAACTTTTGTATATTTGTCAGTGGGCGCGATCTATCAATTTGGTTGATCGAGGAAACGCGCGACAATCCATTGATTGTTGCGCATTCTGTTGATCAGCGGATCGCGCAGCGCTTTTTGTCGATCCGTTTGGTTGCGCATTCTATAGATCTTACCCTTGAGTTTTGTTATGTTTTATTGTCGTCCAGTGTGTAATTTAGTTTCACTCTCCAAAGTCAAACTGAAACTGAATGGAAGTAACTGGAAGTCAGGTTTACAATAACGAACTAATCAAAGTGACTATTCGAGTCCGAATAGACAAAAATTATATATTCGGACTCTGATTTGAGTCCAGTATGATGTCCGTTCCGACTTCCGACCCTTGTTTCTAAATTTTATATTTCCAGCATTTATTAATATTTCTTTCGATTATAATGATAACAATTGAGACGTGAGCTTTAATATTCAGTTACTAGATCTATCTAAACTGGTCCCCCCTGCGTCATTAGTATAACAAAACTAAATTGAGCCGTTTATGTCGACCAATGAGACTGCGCATAGCGATTTCGCACTCTCGGCTTATGGGGGAAGAGGTCACGGCTGTCGATTTTGTGCGATGTGATTTGAAAAAAAATTACAGAAAAACTCAACACTCAACAAAATCAAATTAAACATGTGGAAAGACCAATGGTGATGGAAGTAATGATGATGCTGTAGTGGTGGTGGAGAGACCCTGAGTTGTCGGTTTCCGTGTACTTTGACACTGCTATTGGGTAGATCTAATGAGAGTGCAATCAGGGTTAGGCCTCTATAGGTCGGTGAGTATCACTCACTGACGTGCTCAGTAAACCAAATTTCTTTTTTTTTAAAATTCACTTCATCATCATAGTTTATCGACGGAATGTGCAGTAAGTATATAATATTTCATAGATCGACAAAAAGCGCTGCGCGATCCGCTGATCAACAGAATGCGCAACAATCGATGGATTGTCGCACGTTTCCTCGATCAATCAAATGCGCTGTGCGGTCGATGGATCGCGCAAATCGACAGATCGCGCCCAACATACACATGTCAAATATAGGATGTAGAACCTGCATTAGCAGTTTCAGACCCCATGTCAGCTACAATCTTGAGTTTGTAAATTTGTGGCAAAAATGTTAGTTTTTTAACGATTCATCGAGTGTCATTTTGAGCACACCAATGCAAACTTCCAAGAATGTCCAAAATTTAGTATTTTTGGGTGTTTTTTCTTAACTTGTGCTTTGATCCTATGCTATTTGTCATCGAGAAAGGTTAAATTGTTCATGAAATCGGTTTATTTGTTTGCAAATAAAGGAACAATTCGGATCACTTGTGCGTCAGTCATGTCGTCACGGACTAGGTGTTTCTGAAAACACCATTATTTTTCAGTAGAATCACCACAGCTGGTTAAATCTTTTTGCTTTTCGTCGTTTATTCAATACTTCAAAAGCCGCGATACGCGAAAGGAACATCGGGTTCCTAGATCTACGATTTCGGTTGGCTGTTTAACATTCGCCGTTATTGTTGTCAACTTGCGACGTGCTGGAAGTCCGAATTTCGCCTACTTTTGTTTTGAACGGGTCATCAATAGTGCCCGGATTTAATTGTTTTCTAGAGTGACTTCCCCTTACCCGCTTCCCCAGAACAACGGAAGCAACGGGGGAAACAGAAAAACGAAAGTAGTCATTGCCTTCAGCGTCCGGTGACGCACAAGAATCTTGCGTTGAATGTGACGTACTGGACTGTTTTGCGTGTTTTAAGGCTACTCTGTTGAATATTTTAGTGAAATTGCGGTGTTTACTCTAAATTACTCAATGTTATGTACAAGTAATATTTGTCATCATTGCTAATATCAATAAGTTTTCAACATATTATACAGTGGAACTCGGATTCAACGAGGTCGCCGGGCCTGACCAAAAATCTCGTTGAATCCGAGTGTTCGTTATAGCAAGCACAATGTTTTGTGTAGATAATTACAGCAAGTAATGTATAAAGAGAAGTCACAAGTAGTGCCTGAACTGCCTGCATATTATATTATGAGCTGTGTAAAAAAAAGACCAATTCGTTCAAATGCACACGCCTGTGTCATCTCGATTGTTTACCAAAAAGTTGTGTTGCTGTGTAGAGCCTAGCATACGGCAACTTTTGATTCCATAGACCAGTGCACAATTCATTACGTAGATCTACGTCAAGACTAGCTTATCATTGTAACAATGATCAGTTGCCGAGGGGAAAAAAAGACTGAGTGTGACGCATTTTTTTATCTGCGACGTTCAACGCCCGGACCGCTAGTGCTCCCCCCACCCCCTTTCCCCCATACGCACACACAGTCACACGTGTGCAGGCCACCCCTCTGACCCCGACACACGCCAGAGTAAACAAATGCGCGAGCCAACAACGCATATGTTGGTGTGAAAAAAGGCCGCTGATTTGTTGCATGCAATCGGCTAAATGAATAATGCCAATGGTTCATGATCAGGTGCAATGATGGTTTCCGGGAATGGATGAAGTTCGTTCTGAGAGAAAAATTAGCGAAGCCACGTCTGCGGGGGCTGTTCACCCTGGAAGCGACCTCGTTGAATCCGAGCTCGCTGATTTAAGTGCTCGTTGAATCCAGGTTATTTTTATTGATTTTAAATAGGAAAAAAAAACGGGGAATCTATCTCATCTCGTTGAATCCGAGTTCCACTGTATTTCATGCATGCAAGATTCATTTAGAAGCAAAATACGCCTTTATTGATCTGTGTATCTCTTAGTGCAAATTTGTTCTTTGTAGGCATGATTTTACCTTTTCCCAGTATGCTTTGTCATCACTGTTATAATGTACGAGTACTGTTTGTCATAATTAACAACATAATTGTGATCGTCCACTGTCTTTGATATGACCTGTCTGTTTCAAAGCAAAAGAAACCTCTCCTGTTTTGTTTTTTTATTCTTAAAGTGTGCATTTCTCTCTGGAGGCATGACTTTGTCTTTTCCTGTACATTATGTCATCATTGTTATGTACAAGTCATGTTTGTCATCACTATTATGTACAAGTCAGCTCCATTGATTTTGTGCTTTTGCCTCATATTACTGTAAAATTGTTTTACACTTGTGTTTTTCTGGTACTGAGGCTTTGATAACTGTATTTGTACAGCTTTTCACTATTGTGATGTGTTGTCAGTGATAATGTCCAATATAATGTATCCTTTCTTGTATAACAATGATGACATGTTCTGTGCACTGCGTCATTGTTACAAAGCTTGTCATTCATATAACCGTTATGAATGGAGTTCATAGTGTACAAAGTCTTTGTTAATTAAAAACAAATGGAATATAATAAAGTCTATAATTTGCCTTGCTGCTTATCTGTTTTTGTCATCACTGTTACATACAAGAAATACAGTAGTTGCCAAACCAATAGACCCATATCTCCAAAACCCTACATCTCCTTGCTCTGATACTCTAGGAATATGAGCACTAAATGTCAATATGTGACTGACAGAAAAGAGAGTCAAATTGGTAAGAAATTTTTTTTTGCACTATTGAGTCTCAAGAGAGTCTCAGGTTTTGGCAATTGCTCAAATGCCTTTATGACTAGCTCTTGTTAATTGGATTAATATGAATGAACATGACTGTTGACATTAGGGCACGATTGAAAACAGTAAATAATATGACCAATTAAGTAAGCCATTTAAATTATTAGGCCTATGAGATTCAAACAGAGTGGTTTACAAACAGTGTAGTGATAAAATAAAAACAAATCATGGTAAAAATGAAAACAAATTTAGAACTTATGAAAAAGAAAAAATGAGAAGTGAAAACAACTTATTAACTTGTCTTGTCTCGAATAAAAGAATGAATAACCAAAAACTGCTGCAAAGCAGTAAAACAGTAGGCTATGAAGTTATAATGACAGTGATATAAGTGAAAACAAGTTTTGATTATGTTTGAAAATATGTTGGCACACTCAATTAGAAAACCACTTACTGTTTGTCTCTTATGGGAAAAAACAAGTGAATTTTTTAAAAGTTTCACCAGAGAAGATGATTTCAGAGAATAGTGCTGTTTTTTCAGGACGTCTATATTTGTGAGATATCTCTTGCAACTTGGCAATGCAGGGTTCTGGACTGAATTCTTTGATCTCAGGACCATTGGGACAAAATATAAAGCATGTTGTTTTCAAGCATATCTCTGGAAAGCAAATGCCTCCTGTCACCAAGGATGTACCTCATAAAAAAAAACTGCCTTTCTACTCTGGCTGTGGAGGATGGCAAAACAGATATAATATTGAAAAACTTCAGATTTTCTTCATGACAATAGTGTAAGTTTTTTGTATATGAATTTTTGGAGCTAGAGAATTGCCGTGGAAAGGGAAGCCCTTCGCTGTCGGAATGCGAGGTCGCCGGTTCAAAATTGACACCCATGCTTTCGAATGCTTTGCAGAATGATTGATGATTAAATACAGTCTTTTCATTGGCGGAAAACTATACAGCTTTTAGCGTGGTTTCCCATGGTTATTATTTTTGGCCTTTGGCGTTTGGATTGAAAACCTTTTTAAAAAAGTGTCCAAGTTTTCAAAGATCGTTTTTAGCACAAAATCTGTAAAATATCGGCTAAAAAGGGTATCAATAGAAAGAACAGTTCTTTTTTTATTACAATAAAGTCATCGGCTGGTAATTATATTGCATGAATCCTTCCACAAAACTCTGGGGAGCATTCAGTATACGCAGTATAAAGCCGTTCGCTCAGCGCGGAGACAGATGTGGCGCGGGCACCGATGCACCACCGGCTGAGGCAGCGCTCTGTGTTTTTATTGAAATAACGACAGATCATGGTGTTTGAGGCAATAAAATACTGATTTATAATGATTTCACTGTCTTGAAAGAAATTAAGCCTCATTTCTTTGTTATAATGGTTGTACTCTGTTAATGTAGAGATGTTTGGTGCACTTGGTACTCTTTTATTATCTGTCAATCATGGGGTTTCAGTCAGTTAGCGATTTCAGCAATATTATGTTAAATTGAAACAGCTGCCATTCTCTTAAACTTTGACTGAGAGGTAAAACTATGGTACAAAAATTCTCAGGAGACAAAGGCCTTTCACTTTCATATGAAACAGATAAATTTGACATACAGCTATTTTGAAAATTTAGTGTCTGGTACCTAGGATAATGCTAATATTTTGTTGCATTCCACGTGAAGTCCTTTCTCGTTAAAATTTTGTTTGGTCCATAAGTTTTTTCTTTGTGAATGAATAGTTTTCTACTTCTATATGTTACCTTGTAGTGGCATAGCCAAGATAACTGCTAAATTTCAAGTCTCTATCTCAATTTTAACACTCTCATTGCTATGGAAACATGTTGCTCAACTTCGGAGGCCATTTTCTCCTTTTCATGTTTCCTCACCTCGCACAATTAAAAGTTCTGTATTTTCGTCAAATATGGTCATATTTACTTCATTTTTGTTTTAAATTTTAGGGAAAAGGTGATAGTTTTTTAAAATAATGTGAACTCAGTTTTGAAATTTTCTTCATATGACTGATATCTCTATCTGCAGGGACACAAGAATGTAGTAACTAACTGTACTAAAATATGTCCATTTGATACTGCATCTTTCCTTCCCCACTATGTTTGTCATTCTATCACGCTTACACTTAATTTTGTGCATTTATATTGGGTTTTTGTTTTGTTTTTGGTAAGTGTTTGACAGCGCTCACAACTGCATAAGATCGCCATATATGAGTGCCCATTTATATTGTAACTTGTTACTTTACATTTGTTTCAGTAACAGGAAAGTGTTGACTTGCAGAGGGATCAAAGATGTCGAACTTTGACCCTTGTGAGTGTGTGGACCTTTTCAACCATGAGGGTGCTATGCGTAGGCTGATCAACCTGGTATGTTAGTGCTAGTTCTTGTACTTTTGCATTCTTCCACTTGATCTCAAGGGTAGTAAATTAGGTTTTGCTCACTTTTCAACGGATTGTCATAAAAGAGCATGAAGTTTATATTTCCTTTTATACAATAGTAATTAGGCAAATCATATAGATGGTCATCTCTATGCCCGTCTGTTATATAGTACAATTACTAGTGACAGCAAAAAGATGTTTTTCACAACTTTACAGATGTTTTCACTCTTTATCTCAGAGGAGGGTAAACCCACTGTGCTGGGGCCCTATTTTGGTACGATACCTAAAACTGACATGTATGTCACTAAACCGGTCATTACACCAAAATAAGAGAACATATTTTTATAGTTCTTCATCTAATAAACGAACTCACTGTGTAATAGAGACCTGTTAATTGCTGAAAAGTAGTTTGACATCATAAAGGAATTCACCTGAGCCACTGCCAGCGGCTCACCGGCACTGTGGTTCCACTAGGAGCGGCTTGCTGGAGAGAAAGATTTAAATTTATAATTTTGCGTTCATGATTAAACAGTGTTTATGATTAAGATACCCACGATAATTTATGATAGATCTAATAAAATGAGTCAGAATGCTGTTCTTTACAATATTGCAGCTATAAAGAAAACAATTAATGACATTGTCTCGTTTTCGAGGTCATGTGGTCATGTAGAGGTAAGTTATAATCTTGATGGTCAGCATGTAATTGTAAGAATGTAATAAGGATTTAAGTTCTGTTTGTATAAATATGGTATATTTCTCTCTCTCTCTCTCTCTCTCTCTCTCTCTCTCTCTCTCTCTCTCTCTCTATATATATATATATATATGTGTGTGTGTATATAACAAGGCTTTTGGTTTATTTTCATCTCTTCTTTATTACAGCTTCGTGATTCGCAGAATGCTTGCACTGATGGTGGATGTGAGGAATGTAAGTTAATTCATAAGTCATGACAGTTTATCATGATGTACCCCTGATTTGTTGTAATACTTTAATTTTAGATAGCCTGTGGACTGTTGAAAGTGTGTAGGCAAGCATTAATTTATGAGCCTGTGGACTGTTGAAAGTGTGTAGGCAAGCATTAATTTATGGGAGAGAAAAAGAACCTCTCTATATATGGTCATATACAGGTTTAATGATTACAGCGGGCTGGGTTACAAGTTTAATATTTGTGTAAGCCAAAACTGAAATGTCTTCAATGTTTATATGTTGGTTGATGTAGCATGGTTTGACTACCTAGTATGAGCAAATATCAAACTTTACCTCATATATAATAATTATATATAAATTATACTAAATAAGAAGCATCCCTTGGATTGACTCAAAAGTGGTGTGAAAGATTATTTAAATCAATATATTTTGTCAGCCAATTACAGGTAGCAAGAATTACTTCTATGCTTCTTTTTTGTGTGGAGTCTCTAATTTTGATACAGAAAGTTTGTTCCAAAGGAATGGCTGCTTATTTTTTAATGTAAACATTTAATTCTCATTACCCTATTCGAAGCCTGTGGTATGTTTGTTTTCAGGTTTGCTAAAATGTTTATTGTAGTGCTGAGATCATTACAATCATCAGAATAATCTAATTTTAATATATAGTTGAAATTGTCTAAGACACCCACCAATTGTACAGGAGAACAGTGGCCGTCTTATACAGGTGGACGTCTTACCACAATGTCGTTTTGATATAAAGAGAACACAAGGAAGGAAAACAAGAAATGATGTAGGCCTACAGGGGATTGTCTTAGATGGCTGTTAGAGCAGGTTCTACAGTTTGTTGCGAAAATATTGTCAGTAACAGATTGTCTTTGTAATGCTGATGTTGTATCAACTTAACATGCAGCATAGTGATCATTGTCATGTGTAGAGAGAAAATGAATGTTTACTGGATTTGTCTCTGCAGGGATTTGGATGAATTTTGTTTGCATAATATATATACATGTCACAATGCAATGGAATCGGGCGCTCGTCAATTTTAGGCATGTGGAATTATTGGTATCCTCTGAAAGCTGATTTATTTGTCTTGCTTCCAATGAAGTAAATATAGATCAATCTTGAATAGAAGTCAAGATAATTGCGATTGAAGGAGATAAAGTCACCTAGTTTCAGTGGTGAAATTAAGGAGAAACTGGCCACCAACGTTTGGTGACTCTCCAATAGCTAAAGAGTCTTAGAAAACGGAAAAATTACATAATTTGTGCCTTTAACTTTAATAATCAATGTATTTCTTTAAAATTCACATGGGACTATGTTTTTTACATGGATTTAAAAGGGCCTGAGCCAAAAAATAAAAATACAATAAAAAAAATTCCATACTGGCCTGTTTCTCCAATTTTGTTATTTTGATGAGCACCTGATTTCACCACGCTGCCTCACAAAATATTATATTTCATTGTATGTTGTTATTTGTCTGGCACTTGGGAAAATTTATTATGCCCCAGAGGATTTCACAAATATTGTCTTCAGATTTTTCTATGTGTGCTCAAAAGAAAGAGTGAATGATACTTTTTTTTAAAATTGATTGTAATTTTAAAAAAATAATTCCTTTTAGTGCCCGGGGATCCAAGTGCCCCCAACTGTGCAGATGGGTACATGATGCTCCTGATGGGTTGGGTGGTCGTGGCAACACTCCTGTACTTTCTCCGCCCGAAGAATCTTCGCCTTCGAGGAAACGAGAAGCCCTCACCTGCCTCTGGGGTGAGTGAACATTTTTTTAAATGCTTTTCCTTTTTGTTTGTTTTTATTTTTTCAAATTTAGAATGTATGCGTCTGCCTGTGCGTCTGTCCGTCCCTCTGCTCATTCTTCTGTCTATTTATCGGTCTGTCTAAATGTCTGTCTGTCAAGAGAGTCTATTTCATTTTTTTTATGCAAAGCTTATGGAGATTAGTTCTTTCCAGTTTGATATATAATCTATCTCCTCAAATTTGACATATAAGCTATCTTCACAACTATTATTGCTGTTTGCTGACTGTTCCTGCACTGCTTTAGAATTTTGAGATACTCTTCTTCTCAGTATACAATTTCTAAATTCAAAAGCACGTTTAAATGAAAAAATAACATCTTTGACATTAATTTATCAAACATCTCATACTTCAGGTCCTCAGTTCTCTTTTTAAAAAACCTGTACTTTATATGCCAGATTATGACATTTATACAGTCAGGCACAGATGACTCTAACACGTCAGAGATTGATAAATGTGTTTGACATTTTAAGTTTTCCGTGTTCATCTTGTCTGTCCTCGACTGTATGTTGTATTCTGTGAACTGTCTGTGAAATTTCTAAAGTCAGTAGGCTACATCTTTGCTTGAGTTATAAACCTCATGAATATAATCTGATTAGGGATTACGTCATGCACATGTTCTGAGTAAAACCTGTCTGAAGATACAAAAGAAAATTTGGAAATTCAAGAAACAGACCTAGAACCTAACTTCTATCTCAAATAAGTTTGTGTTAAACTTTTTTTGATATTTAAAAATGTTTTTTATTTATTATTTTATTACTTTTTTATAGATAAATTTTTCAGTTGATTTTAAAGGCTTTTTCTAAGGATTAATTCACTTTGATAGGTGTGAAATTGAAAATCTACTCGTTTCTTTTCTGTGTTTGTTGCTTTCTTTTAAATATAAGGTTCAGATTACAGGCGTCTATGGTGTAGTGGTTAAACAATTCACTGTCGTAAACAGGAGACAAGTTCCATTCCAGAGTGGAGAGAATTTTTAGCGAGTATCTGGGATCTTTCTGCTCAAATGTTGTGTCCTTCTCTGTCCGGATTGGCCTTGACAGGCAAGGTTGGAAGTCCACCTCCTAATTGATCTAAATTGTGTTAATGGGATGTAAAAAATAAAAAACCACTTGTATTTCACATAGCGCTTGTACAAATTTTCTTGGTGTTTTCCTCAGGATGGATCGGACCCACCTCCTCCTGGCCCGGCCGTGAACTAAATCGGGACCAAGTTTTCACTCCTACATTGGCTGTGACGATGCAAAAACACAACCAAGACAAATTCGCAAGTCTTGGCAGAAATCACCTCTTTTGTTACGCAGGACTGTTGCAATTTCATCTAAGATTTCTCGTTGAAAACAAAGATGTCAAGTTATTGTAAAAATGTACCATTTTGAGAATGCTGTGTACTGCAAAATATAATTAAACCAATCTCACTTGCACAAATTGTGTTCTGTGTGTTATTTTTTCACATGTTTTCTACCATCGTTATTAGAAGTAGTCATGCCACTATTTTGAAACAACACCAATTAGTTGTAGTGTCTTGCTTTTTATTATTTTTTACCACACAGCTTCTATAATGTAGCTAAGGTGGTATGAAAAGGCTCTAACTTGATTATTACTAATCATTACAATGATTATATATTGTATCATTCAAATGGTGATTTACAAAAATGACTTCATCCCTTTTCAAGGTTTTGATTTCTGAAATGCCCAGACCTCTTCCAATTTCATTTTTAGAAAGAAAAAAAATCCCTCAAAAGGGTTCGTTTATTCAGTAGTCATTCTTTGATCTTGCTAATACTAATACACTTTCAGCTGAGAAGGTACTTTTGTTGATTTTACTCATCAAGGTTTTGTGATTTGAGGATCATGGGTATTACATTTTGGGACTGCTTTTTATCATTTATAAGGTATCGGTGTGGCATTCATTGTGTGCATTCACATTGTTATGGTGCTTTTTATTATTTCTGTTTTAATAATTTTTTCAGTGAAAAAAAAAGGTTACGAAATCTTACGTTTTCTGCATTCTAATGCTTGCCAGCCTTTATAAAGATGGCTTGTTTGACCCCCACAATATGTATATATAGTTTTGATAAATATTCTACTAAACTCAACTTGAGAATCGCTGAAGAAAAAATTCATTTGTTTTACAGCCACTTCAACTTCAAGAACACTCAAATGGTTCTTTCCATCTTACTGTTGATAGCAAAGCTATATATACAAACTCAGCTAAAACAAAAAGAGTGTGGTTGAAATCATTGATGTCTTCAGAGTTTTGTCTTTTTGCTACCTTAGAAAATTACAAAGTTCTATCTGCTCAGTGCCTAGTTTTAATAACTTTGACGTAAAAAAATTTGAATTTCACGTGTCTGCAGTTTTAAAAATATTTTGTTAATGACTCGGAATAATCTTACAATTTTGATAGATGAGATAGAACATTTGGTTTCTGACCTCATGGTCTCAGTAACTTAAAACAGACAAAAATGTCAGAACTTTGTGATTCTAAGGTAGCAAGTTGTCAACGTGGAAGGTTTACCGTAAGTTTATCATCATCCCGGTGCTGTCTTGGTTGCAGAGGGCTCCCCCTTCAGAATGACCCGCTGTATCTCGAAGAACCTTCCTACGGTGGAGTTTATGAGTCGCTCTCCCCATCATTCCAAGCTGCATTTATTTGTAATCACGAGTCTGCTGAACCACATTTCAATGTTTGCTTCAGTTCCTAAGATTCTTTCTAATTATTACTGTTGTATTTTACTATTACTGTTTCATAGCAATCAATTTTTTTGCCTTCTGGTGTCATGGTTTGTCAAATATAAGGTCTTTCGTATTGTATGTAAATGAAAACGTATACTTTTATATCAACTTGGACTATAATTTCGTGCTTTTGATTTGACTTTTTATCCAACGTACGAACCTTCATGTTTTCATTTACACTTGTGTAAACATATATATATATACAGTCGAACCTGTGTAAGACGGAATCGCAAGGGAGCCAGGAAAAAATTCCCTCTTTGACATATTCCGTCTTAGGCGCGGGGGGGGGGGGGGGTACAAGTACAAGGCCCAGTCGATGGGATATTTAGGGTCGCTTGACTGGTCGGAAAGCAATCACAAGTGGTCAAGTCTTCACACTTCTCAGCTGCTATCCTCTCTGATGGTAACTATCGTCAGTCTTACTTATCCAATTACCTCCAGTGTTTGCTCTTCATAGGACCACTGTTTTGGCCTATTCGGGCGACCAATGAAAGTTTCCGTGTTGGAGCACTACTCGAGCACTTTCACTGGCACTGGTGATATTTCACACCCACACCACCCTGACCATCTTCTTAGCTCAGGTCTCCCATAGAATAGGGTAATATTTACCTTCAAATTGCATACCTACTCCCCTTCCTTGCCCGCCGACGTGGCGTTAAGTTTAGAGTCAGCGGACTGAACCAAACTTGTGAGTTTTGTTTCAAATCAGGGCTGAACGGGCAAAGCATTTTCCGTCTTAGGCAGGTTAAAAAAATCCCTCGAAAGGGAGCGGATTTCCTTTCCGTTTCCACATTGGACAGGTTTCAGTTTTACACAAGTAATTAAAGAGGAATATATCGAGGGGGGAGTGTGGAGATTCCGTTTTACACAAGTTTCCGTTAAAGATGGTTCGACTGTATATGTACCAGTACCATCCCCTTTATCATGATTTTTTCTGTTACAAAAAAAATTGAAAAACATGTACTAGTACTTTTACTTTGATGAAGAACACTGCCAGTCTTTGAAAGGTAAAGAATATTGATATACTTTGGAGATAAATGTAACTTGTGTGAAAAGTGTGCTTGTGTGTAATGATACTTGCATTGACAGTCGACAGCTCATGAAATTTGTCACAAATTTCTGGGACGGTTTTGCTGAAATTTGAGTTCAGATCACTTGTGGAAATGAATGTTTAAATTAATATTTTTCAAATCCTGTTGTATCTCAGCAAGTTTTCTATATAACTGTAAAGTGTCTAAAAGTAAACCTCTTTCCCTGTGTTAGTTGAAATCTGTTAAACTTAAACAAGGAAGGGAAAACACTTACAACTAATAAAATAGTTGATGAATTATCTTTTCTACTGTTGTTCCTGTATGTCCTCAGACTCTATGACTTTGTGTGTCATTTTTAAGTGGACTTGTTTCATTAAAATACAGATATTGAAGGACTGTGTCCTCTTCTAGTGAAATATGCAAATTATGTTTGAAAGCAATCAGACAGTGTATGTTTTCAAATATTTATGAGTTTGCTTAGCTGCCACAGGATATTCTTCCTGGCTGTATCAGTTCAAAACATATTTTAAATACTGGTACTTAAACTTAACCTTTCCAGCCCCATGTGCAGATATTTTCAGCAGCACTTGTAACTCCCACTGTCCCAAGAGCGTATGTTCTCAATTTCGGGGGGTACCGAATTTGCGCATTTGTCGAAATGGCAGTGTGCCTAATTAAACTCTAATTTTGATGTTTGTTCATTTACCTTTTATAGCCTACATTGTTATATGTTATTACCTAAACCTCATCACGAAGATACTACATTTGATCACTTTTTAGAATGCATGCCTCTTTTTCTGAAACACTGCTGTATTGGCTGGGACTGGGTTTAGGGAGTTCACAAAACTGACTGGGGCTGGAAGGGTTAAACTGTTGTGAGAGATTTTGAATTTAGAAGTGGATGAGAATCTCATTTTTTGGGGTATTTTTATTTTGGTCTTTTTTTCTGAAAGAAAAGACACTAATGTGCTGTCAAGATGGGAATTAAAGGATTAAGTATTCTTTCTTTTGTAGCGGTACAGTAATTATACTGTTTGAACCCTTAAAAACTGCTCATTATTTTATTTTTTTTGGCATGTCCAACTCTTTGGTGATTTTGGTGCCGGAATAATAAAACAAAAAAATATCAAGATTAAAAACTGTTGAGAAATTAACTTTATTTATTGTTTTTAGTGCATGTATGGTTCAAAGTGTAAGATTTGACAAAACTGAGGACTTTCTTTTTAGTGGATTTAGTAGAGGCTGGCTTATGTCTCATTTCTTCTTTTTTTTCTGGAAAGAAACAAACTCAGTTTTGAAGACACCGGACTTCAAAAGAAGGGGGAGGGGGGACCAACCTCGCATCAGATTCTGAACTTAAAGAGGACCTGGAAAGTTGTTAAGACTCCCCAGCATGTTATTACCATTAAAACATTTTTATTGGGGTTTTTTGTGTGCAATTCTTTTTTCTGAAAGAAGAGTAAAAAGTCTGTAATCCCTCTATTGCAGTTACCCTTACTGTTCCTTTTAATTTTAATTTGCATGATTTAAACAAAAACAACAGAAAAGCAAAAAACATTACAAATAATAATTAGGTTTCATAATTATGTACTAATAAGTTTAAAAACTTTCTGTTTTACTTTAAAAATGTGTTCCACAATGCACATACTTTTATAGAGTACAAAAGAAAAAGTATCTTTCTTTATAAAATTCACAACAACTATTTTATCTTTCCCTCTGAAGGAATAAAAAGAAGTGTAAACCAGCTCTGTTAAAAAAAATGAAAAAGTTACGAAATACCGTAATAAGCGAACTTCTTTGTGGAAATTGGCTCATTCACCATTGAAATTATGTAAAGATTGTTTCCTTCTCTGTCGAAAAAATGTAATTTATTCAGCTTAAAGTAGGAAAAAATTAACTTGCATTATTTTCTTGATTTTTACTCTCTTCCACTTCTCAATGCTTGTATCTAGTTTTCAGTGGGGACTTTGACTCAATATTCTGTAGGTAGTGGGTAGTTGGCGGGTGCTCTGGTGTGGTTTGCTTCTTCTTTCCTATCAAACATCTATCGTCCTTATCTCTGCTCCTTCTTTTTTTGTGTTTGTTACTCTCCTGTAACACCTCTAATCTGCGGCACTTATATGACCTTATTGTGTTTCAAGTTCTGTTAAACTCGTACTAAAACAAAGTCCAGTAGTAAATTATGATCTCTCCAATAATTTACTAAAACTAAATTCTGTAGGTAGGTGTGGTGCAAAAGCTTTCTGTCTTGCTTGGTGATAGTAACTTTTATTGGTTATCTAACAACTTTTAACGCAGACAAGTAGTAGTGACCTGTCTAAAAAGGTGGTTTCTTTATATTTATTCTGTAAGAGGAAGTTCCCAAATTTTTGCGGCTGCAATTTTAACACAAACTTTTACTGTAGCTATCTCAGATCTGCCATTACTTTCACGCTTAAGTTGGGAGACGGTTTCTGTTTTTTTGTACTTTTTAAAAACGCTTTTTGTGCTTGAGGGATGGAACTAGCAGTAGCAGCTCTTCTAATATTATTCTTTGTTGCAGAAAGGTATGCTCAGATGATACCATGGCATGATGTTGGCAACACGTGTACATTTGTACTAGTACTACTACTGCTACAACTGCTACTGTCAGTACCTACCACCACCGTCTCTAAT